GGGAATCCCGCATGCTGGAACCCAATAAAGTTTATTCTCTCTCTCTCTCTTCGTGTGCACAAGCGTTCTGCATACTAAGAAAGAATATTTCGTTTAAATTGGAATGCCAACCAGCCCAGCTGGCAACTATTTTGCTGAAAGGTGGGCCACCGGAAAATATTTCGATGCAAAGTAAGCCCTAGAGGTCGCCAGCTGTTAAATCCGCCACTGCCGGTGGCCGTCATATGCTGGAAGGAGCGGAGCTGTCGTCTTCTACCAGCATTTCAGCCGTTGTTCATTTCCAATGCAAATGAGAAGAAAGCTAAAACATATTTCGATTTCACAAGCAGCTGACCATGTTTGCCAGAGTGCAGACGCTTGCACACAGTGTACCAACTCTTTTGCGAGTGGGGGGGCAGACCTACCTAACTTCTCAGCTGGGATGTGTACATAAATCATCATCATCATCCACTGCAGGACAAGGGCCCCTCCCATGTTCCACCAGTTAACCCAGTCCTGTATTTGCTGCTTCCAATTTATACCCGCAAACTTCGTAATCTCATCTGCCCACCTAACCTCCTGTCTCCCCCTAACCCGCTTGCCTTCTCCGGGAATCCAGTTAGTTACCCTTAATGACCAACATTATCCTGTCTACGTGCTACATGCCCGGCCCATGTCCATTTTCTCATCTTGATTTCAACTATGATATTCTTATCCCCCGTTTGTTCCATAATCCACTCTGCTCTCTTCTTGTCTCTTAAGGTTACACCTACCATTTTTCTTTTCATTGCTCGCTGCGTCGTCCTCAATTTAAGCTGAATCCTCTTTGTATTTCTCCAGGTGTCTGCTCCATAGCTAAGTACCGGCAAGACGCAGCTATTATATACCTTCCTCTTGAGGGATAGTGGCAATCTACCAGTCATGATTTGAGAGTGCTTGCCGAGTGTGCTCCACTCCATTCTTATTCTTCTAGTTACTTCAATCTCGTGATTCGGCTCCGCGGTTATTACCTGCTTAAGTAGGCATAGTCTTTTACAAGTTGAAGTGCACTATTACCTATCTCGAAGCGTTGCTCTCTTCGAGGTAGTTGTACATTACTTTACTTTTCTGCAGATTAATTTTAAGACCTACCTTTTTGCTCTCCTTGTCTAATTCAGTAATCATGAATTGCAAATTGTCCCCCGAGTTACTCAGCAATGCAATGTCATCGGCGAAGCGCAGGTTACTAAGGTGCTCTCCATTAACTCTTATCCCTAAGTGTTCCCATTCTAGGCTTCTGAAAACATCCTGTAAGCACGCGGTAAATAGCATTGGGGAGATTGTGTCCCCCTGCCTTACACCCTTCTTGATTGGTATTCTGTTGCTTTCTTTATGAAGCACTATGATAGCAGATGATCCCCTGTAGATTTCTTCCAGAATGTTTATATCTAATTCTTCGAAGCCCTGATTCCGCAGTGTCTGCATGACGGCTGATATTTCTACTGAATCAAACGCCTTCTTGTAATCTATGAAGGCTATGTATAGTGGTTGGTTGTATTCTGAGCATTTCTCTATTACCTGATTGATAGTATGAATGTGGTCGATTGTTGAGTAGCCTGTACGAAATCCTACTTGTTCCTTTGGTTGATTGAATTCTGTTTTCTTTACTCTGTTAGCAATTACCTTTGTAAATAGCTTGTATACTACAGAGAGCAAGCTGATCAGCCTGTAATTCTTCAAGTTCTTGTCATCTCCTTTCTTATGTATTAAGATGATGTTAGCGTTCTTCCAAGACTCTAGTACTCTTCTCGTCAGGAGACACCTCGTAAACAGGGTGGCTAGTTTTTCTAACACACTCTGTCCTCCATCTTTCAGCATATCTGATGTTACCTGATCCTCACCAGCAGCTTTACCTCTTTTCATGCTCTTCAAAGCTTTTCTGACTTCTTCTATCATTACTGGTGGGGTGTCATCTGAGTTACTGCTAGTTCTTATAGTATTAACGGCGTCTTGATTGATTGATTGATATGTGGGGTTTAACGTCCCAAAACCACCATATGATTATGAGAGACGCCGTAGTGGAGGGCTCCGGAAATTTTGACCACCTGGGGTTTTTTAACGTGCACCCAAATCTGAGCACACGGCCCTATAACATTTCCGCCTCCATCGGAAATGCAGCCGCCACAGAAGGGATTCGATCCCGCGACCTGCGGCTCAGCAGCCGAGTATCTTAGCCACTAGACCACCGCGGCGGGGCAGTATTAAGGGCGTGGTTGTCCGGGCTACTGTACAGATCTTCGTAAAACTCTTCCGCTATTTTAAATACCCTATCCATATTGGTAGTTAATTTGCCTTCTTTGTCCCTTAGTGCATACATCCGATTTTTGCCTGTCCTAAGTTTCCTCTTCACTGCTTTGACACTTCCTCCATTTTGCAGAGCGTGTTCAATTCTCTCCATGTTATAACTTCTTACATCGCATACCTTACGCCTATTAATCAACTTCGAAAGCTCTACCAGTTCTATTTTGTCTGTTGTACTTGAGACTTTCATGATTTGACACTTCTTAATGAGATTCTTTGTTTCCTGGGAAAGCTTGCCAGTGTCCTGTCTAACTACCCTGCCTCCAACTACCACTGCACACTCCGTAATGATACTCGTCAGATTATAATTCATTGTATCTATGCTAAATTTGGCGTATATATATATATATATATATATGTACACAAAGAGACTTTCAATGGCTGACGCGCTTCATTAGATATCATGAATTCAATTACACTTTAAAAGGCCGAGGCAGAGGAATGGCGCCCTCAGCAAATTTTCCGCGTCCAATATGCAATGCTCACCTTGCTATCACGCCTCTGCCTCTCTGATTATGCTTTGGCAATTAACATCTACAGATACCACAATAGTTTGATTGATTGATTGATATGTGGGGTTTAACGTCCCAAAACCACTATATGATTATGAGAGACGCCGTAGTGGAGGGCTCCGGAAATTAAGACCACCTGGGGTTCTTTAACGTGCACCCAAATCTGAGCACACGGGCCAATATTTCCGCCTCCATCGGAAATGCAGCCGCCGCAGCCGGGATTCGAACCCGCGCTCTGCGGGTCAGCAGCCGAGTACCTTAGCCACTAGACCACCGCGGCGGGGCTACCACAATAGTTTGTTTAATAAGTTTATCTTGAATGTTAGTCGTCGAGATGGAGATGTACCAAGCGTCAACGAGGGTACATTCTTGTTCAACAGAGCTTTAGCTGCCAAATACCAAAACATACATTCGGCAAACCCTCATTTATCAATCTACAGTAAATATTCAATTACTTCTGTAAGGACGTGTTTTACTTCCGCGTTTTACTGCCGCTATAGCTCCAACTTCCAAGTTGCCATAAGCATGGCTGATCTGGTTAATTAGAGACTAAAGAACAGTTTTTGGCATTTCAGTGTCGAAAAACGTTCACATTAAAAACATTTTGTCACGCACATCCACTCGCAACAGCTTAGACAGAGCAGCGGTGATGATATACCCTTTTCGAAGAAACTTATTTTCCGGAAGCCGCAAATGATTTGACCAGTCCATAAAAAGTTTGCTCATTACAATCCGTAACAGCATTAACAAGTCACAGCAGAATAAAAACATGAACGAGTGATGCAATATTATAGGGCTCCTGTTCAGTGCTTGCCTGCTCTGCAATACTACAGCGTAAGATGTGAAAACGTCGCATAGGCAACCCGCACCGCAAAAAACCTACAAGGAAATTCATCACGGCGGTAATGTTGGCGAAATTTCACTATTTGTAACATTGCCTTGTAACTCTTTCATTCACCCGTAAGAACATAATTGAGTTATTACTTTTGTGATGGAAAACTTTGCCTTACTTGTTGCTTCCCCAGCGTGCAGCAAAAAGTGACTACTGTCGAAAGAGGCCCCCCCCCCCCCCCCCAACTTTTGTCTGTGGGGTGGGGGGGGGGGGGCGGAGGCGAGGGCTTGCACCCTTGTTGCCCCTCTCGGCTGATACGCCTATGCTTGCACAGCTAGTTGCTTGTTAGCTTGCAAGTGCACTAGTGTTGTTAGACTCTCAGGCAGCTCGTGTGTTTATAAAAGTATTCAATTACAAATTAAGTGTTTGACCAAATGCACAAATATTTTGCTGCTATACTTGTGAATGCTCATGAGGTAACCAATGTAATACACATTATGATAAAAAATTAAGTGTCATGGCCCCAATAAGATTTTCCTCAACCGACCTTTCTACTTTGTTCAATTCTCCTGCTGTTGTTTGAGTCGAGCAATAATTGATCTGACGTAATTCCTCAATTTTTTTGTGTGTGGACACCCCTCGTGTACGGACCTCATTTTTATGAAAATGAAAATGCGAGTGCGTGGCAGATAGCCTCTTGAGGGGTATGTCGCTCTGGGAAAATATGGAAATAAAAGGAAAGTGTGGTGTCTTTCTTTCTATTGTGTACACTCACAACACAAATGTGTTTATTTTATGTTTTTTTTTTTCTCTTTATACTCATCTTTTGCGGGGGTGTCTCAGCAAACGAAGGCTATTTTTGATAAGGACTGTCAGTATCACACCTTCAGATTGTTGCCGTGGCAACAACATAGAGCCCTGAAAGAGAAATAAAACACTGCAAGGTGGGCAACAGAAGAAATGGCAGTGCTCTCTTTCTTTATTTACACATGTGCGGTTCGAGGTTATTTGCAATGTGCTCCCTCTCATAAAAATAATGGCTGAAGTAGCTGACTGCGTATGTAAACTGTCAGTCATGCTCTCTTAAAGAGAACTACATTTCTTGGAGCATGCGGGAGTGCACAACAAGCTACTGGGATTGTTAACTTTTTTTTTGTCTCTCGGCACTTCTTTGTTGCTTCGTTGTCAGCACAATTGTTTTCTTTGTAACTTGCCACACGTGCACATACATTGTGTTTGTGTCAATAAAATGATAAATTAAATGTGAGCGCTTGCCCAGTGCTTTTCATTTTTTTGCACTGTTTATCATGAGAAGCCTATGAGTGAAAAGAGCGTACCTTCTTTAGAGCTGCTACGCTGCTATGCCGGGAGGGGACGAAGCAATGCAGTGTCTCCCAGCAGCAACCTGCACAGACCCTCTGGGGCATACAGGTCTCGGTGGCTGGGCTCCCAGGAGAGCACGTCCTCGGCGAAGCAGAGCACCAGCGTGTCCACCACCGTTTCATAGAGGGAGAGCACACAGTGGGCCACAAAGTACGAGAACACGGTCACAGCTAGCACAGGCACAGCGCACAGTTGAAGGTGCGGCTGGCCACAAAGCAGAACCACTGCCAGCAGACCGATCGCAGACGTAACCAGGCACTTGGCCAGGAAAAGCGGGAAGCCAACCGAGCCACTGAGGACCGAGATGATGTGGGAGCTCTGGGAAAGCAAAGAGTCAGCCGTGCGACCAGCTGTGCAGAAAGATGTGCCACGAATGGTGACAATGGTGTATGCATTGTGGCTCCCACACTTTAAGCACCACAGCCCTCTATGGCAGCGTCCACTCCTACTAGTCCATTGCCGCAAAGCCACAACTGCGAGTCTTGGAAGCCTGCACAGTGGCGTGAGAAGTGAGCCCAGAGCAACAGATCCGAGGTGGTAAACGAACAGGCGAGCTGCAGAGCGGCCCACAGGCCACACTAACGTGGTGCAGTCCTTGCTGAAGTACCACGACGCAACGGCTCCGGCAATGACAGTCTGCTGACAGGCCAGCACAAACTCGGCCGACCAGAGGAGAAACAGCAGCTGGAACCACCAGGCAAAGCGGACCCAAGAAGGCTTCTCGTAAGTCACCAGGGTTAAGTGTCGCGCCTTGGCAACAGGTGCAACGGCTGCGATGGGGAGAGTCTCTCGGCTGGCATGGTTGGCAGTGGCCAAGTGAAGGAAGACTACGGTCCACGCTGTAAAGAGAGCCAGCAGAGCAACCAGAGTCCACAGTGGCTGTACGAAAAGAAAGGGCATCTGCCGAATACAGTGTCCAGCTTCGTTAAACAAAGCCAGTCTAGTCTGCTGGTGCGATGCCACAGCAAGAGCCAGCAAAACTGTGGCGAACAGGGTCGCTGCAGTAGCAAAAACAAGGAATGCACGCTCATTCTTAGCAGATTTTTCGAGAAGGTGATCGAACGGTGTTGTGTCAAGATGGACCTTGATGTCCACATAAGTCCACCAGAGTGTACCTGCTACAGCAATCACAGAGACCACTGACAAAATCAGGATGGCCTTTGCTGCTACTGCGGCAAATCGATGGAGCAAGAAGACCACAGCAAAGGACAGTACACAGGCAGACGAGAGCATATAGCATACCTCGAGCCATGCGGCAAACAAATCACTGACAACCTGCTGAAGGGTGTCGGCACTGTTGAGGTATCCGTACATGCTGCGAAGGATGTCTGAACTGGCATCGTATGGAACACAGCGGTTGTGAACAGGCTTGGTGGGTGGCACTGGAAGCCTTGGGCAGGGGCCAAGTGCCGTGCTTATCTGCTCCTCATTGAAGAGGTCGAGGCCAATCGCTGTTGAATTCGACGACACAGTGGGGACATCGTAACGGCAAAGGGACGAGCCCGTCTTGGCACCAAAGTGAAGCACCTGTGTGGGGTGAGTTCTATGATGAACAGCCTGAAAAAATGCAGACACAGCGAAGGGCAAGCACCAACTCTCAACTAAGTTTATTGACAGCAGTGACTTGAAAGACGAGAAAATTGTGCCAAACTGCGTCAAGAGGTTAAATGGGCTAAATCATGCCACATTTTTGCAAAATCTCATAATTTGTGCCATATTTGCCAAGGTGTCGTTTTTGCGGTCTTTCAGAAAGAAGAAAAAGACTGCACGTGCTTGCAAACAGTAGGTAAGAAGCCAAGTGATGGAAACTTAAAAAAAATAATCCCTAGAGATTATTAGTCTCCAATATAAAGCAAGTTTATGTTTTGTTGATTTCTCATAAGTAAAAATTTCATTAAATGTATGCCTTGCACAAACACTGCAAACACAAAAGTTCCACTCACTGAAAAGAATTGATTTTTAAAGAGGGACATGAACAATGTATTGACCTGTGCAATGAACCAAAATGAATGAGAACTGATGAATAATAAAATCATAGTAATTAAATAACCAAAAGAAGTATGCACTCGCACTAGGGGCACCTTCGTATAACAGGCATCCATATTAAATCTTGTTGCACAATTTTGCTTATTGAGGTTCATTACTATAGTAATAAGAAAGTGTGCCAAGGTTTAATAAAATATCTTCATTAGCAAAATAGTTCACGTGTGAAAAAATACCAGAAATAAAAGTTCCGACAAAATCAACAAAAAAAATTGGAAGAGGTTTAGTGCTTACACAAGATGATCAGAAGGGCTTCCGATCATCTTGTGTTTTGTCTGTGCTCATGTTTGTGTGTGTGTGGTTTCTGGCGCTCATGTAGCCAACTATGTTTACACAAAAACTGCTCTGGTTTCCACTCACATGCTGCTCTCTGAAGCTGAAACTGTGATTGAGCAGTAATAAATTGGTTATAAACAATCAACTGTCAAGTGCAAACGACCTTTTCAGCCTTGATAAATGGGTCTACCTATTTCAATAAACAGAACAAGATGACAAATTTTCTGTCAGTACTTCTTTAATTTTATCTTTTGGCAAGTAATGCAAGTAAAGATGCATGTACTTGTGCATAGATCAATTTTGTCAAACATAGTCTAGCTTAGAGAAAACTATTTCTGTTTACAAATGTTTGTTTGGTAACTGAGGTGAATGACTTTGGCCAATCGTGTCACTGTGACAAAACATGGCATGCACACACACAGCAAGAGAAAAATATGTATAAGAATTAAACTAAGCAACAAGTAGCATTAAAAAATTCCACTTCTTTTGATTATGTGTTTTTATGAAGGCAAACAAGGTAGCTGTGTCAATGTCTGGTTTACAGAGCGTCTGTTGTCTCGAAATAATAACATGCACGCTGCTCAGCTGCGTACTGTTCATGGGTTCAATCCCAGCTGCGATGGTTGCATTTCGACGGAAGCAAAACGTGGAGGCACGCGTACTGTTCGATGTCAGTGCATGCCATATGGTTGAAATTTCCGGAGCCCTCTACTGTGGTGTCCCTCATAACCATATTCTGGTTTTGGGACATTGCAATAACCAGTATGCTCATGTGTCAGCCCATTGTACCCAATCAATGCAGCTATTTGCTTATGTTGAAAAACAAAACCATTCTGTATAATTAAAGATTTGAACACAAAGTTGGTGATGAGAGACGGCATGTACTGAGCATAAGGGGGAGCGATGCATGTGTCAAATAAATAACATCACTTTTTCGCTCCAGAATCAATATAAATATGTTCCTGTTGACAGCATACAAATGCATCAAATACAACATGTTTACAACTTTTCCATCGTCCACATACATTGCATACATATGCACCACTGTATACATATGCTGCAAGATTTATAGTTGATTTGTTTCAACTTGAGCTTGCAGACACTGCATCCACCAGGCCTTTTCATAAGAAATATTAGAAAAACACGAATCAGTTCAGACTAGGGCTGGGAATGAAACCATATCGGGTGATTAAAGCTTCTGGGTGACATCTCACTCACGTTCAGCACTGCATGCTGCAATTGATATTCTTCTCTGCACTGAGCTCTGCACACAGTATTGTTTCGTAACGAGTTGAACCACCGCATGGCCTATTCAATTTGAGCTGCGAATCCATCGAGTGACCCCTGTGCCAGGGAACGGAGAAGCTCTATTTGTTACACCATTATTAGTAGTGTGTGCCTACTGAAAACCTTGCACAAACAGCTGGCAATATCAGCTGCTATCATTGAGGCCCCTACATGAACACTCGGCCTGACTCGGCTTCACGCATCAAGAAACAGTGCCCACATGTAGCTGGCTTAGGTGGGTAGATGGAAACTGAATACTACTGTCAAATCCAGCAAGCGTCTCGGGAGCTGGTAAAGTTCGTAATGATCCATCATGGTGGTAACTATGTGGTTATGGGTTTCAATGCATAGGGTCTATGGAAAGTTTTTTTTCTAGAGTAACTATAATAACTCTAGCCAGCATGCGAATGACAGCTAGTAGACAGATTTGCCTAAACTTTGTTCTTTCAGCTCCGTCTTGCCTGAATCCGCTTTACTGCAAAGTTGAGCACTTGTGCTTCGTCACCTACTTCTTTTTAGGCTCACATATTTAAATGGAATTTTAGAAGTTAACAATGGTTCATTCTTTTATCTAAAACAAAACACAATAAAAAGCAAAGCCACAAATGCATTCGAAAGCTGCAAGCATTAAAATTAAGCAAATCCATTTTGTACTACCTACCATTCCCATGGTAGCTGAGAGATAGCAGCCCCAGAGTTCCCTCTAGTAAATATGGATGTATGCATGTCGGGAAAGCAATCGTGCTAACATGAGTAATAAAGTGTTTTAGAACACCAAAGAAACAACCATGCATCACACAAAGTGGGTCGTCCAATGATTCAATCCATTACAAAAGCGTGTTGTTCAATATTTAACTGTGGTGCACACCCACGTCAGCATAATTCTTCATTGTCTTCAGGTACTGCATAAAAATATTGCACAATATTCCTAGCAAGTGTGTAGCAGATGCCACGCTTCTCTGAAGACTGATGAAGCATAGCATAGTGAATGCCATCCTACTACGCAAAAACTACGATTATTCATTGCATAGTGGATACCCAGCAAGTGTGCTTGTAGCAGTTACTCAAAGAGTGTTGAGAAAAGGCTCTGAATGGTTGCTCTTCAAACTTTCGTTGCGACATTGCTGTGTGTTCCGCGCAGGCCCGACTTTTATTTCTTTTAAGAAACTATACGTAGGTGCGTGTGGTGCTTATATGTGCGTGTGTGCGCGAGAGAGTATTCTGGCCAGAAATTTTTTTCGGCGTGGGGAGATGGACGGGGGGTTCAACAGTACTTAATGTATGCTTAATAAGTGTACATGTATCAGTGAATTATACATTTTGCGGGGGAGGGTTTGAGTCTCTCAACCCTAGTGACATCTGTACCGTACATAGAGATGTATCATGTATCATAGGTGTATCATACATAGATGCCCCGCCGCGGTGGTCTAGTGGCTAAGGTACTCGGCTGCTGACCCGCAGGGCGCGGGTTCGAATCCCGGCTGCGGCGGCTGCATTTCCGATGGAGGCGGAAATGTTGTAGGCCCGTGTGCTCAGATTTGGGTGCACGTTAAAGAACCCCAGGTGGTCTAAATCTCCGGAGCCCTTCACTACGGCGTCTCTCATAATCATATAGTGGTTTTGGGACGTTAAACCCCACGTATCAATCAATCAATCATACATAGATGAGGAGAGAGTAAAAGCAGTTAATTTTTCCTCTGGGGAGCAGAATACACAAAAGCTCTTCGCCATAGTTTTTATTTCAATCGAACTGATATGCGTACCTCGTCCCAGGTGCGGAGCGCTCGGGACGGACACTGGCTGACGCATATCTTGAGCGAGTGGCGCAGGTCGGCGACGTCCATGTAGAAGAGGTACGGCCTGTCCCTCGCGTCCATGCCCGACAAGGCGAGACTGCCGATGGGCACGTTGCGCGCTCCGCACACGTTGCCGAAGCTGTCATAGCCGTGCACGAGGCGCAGGGGGTCACCCAGAGCCAGTGCGAACGACGCTACAAACACGGCGACACCCAGCAATGCGGCCAGAGCGAACAGCCACGGCAGGTCAGTGCAGCCGCGCGCTTCGTACGGCGCATTGCTGCTGGGCTCGTCAGATGCCATTGCCCCTACGGATCACGCAGCGGCATCCACGGATCGGTGTTAGTGGGGACCAAAACTCAGCGCATTTGGGAAGACGGTGCAACGCGTCGACCGCAAAAGTGTGCGGCGGGTCGCGATCGCTAGCGCGCAAGAGCAGAGGGGCCCCACAATAGGGTCTCTATGCCGACGTTTTATCCCTACACAAGCCACCAAAATACCCTAGATTTGAACGCGAACCGGATGGATGGACGAATGCCATTAACATCCCTAATATAACGGGGCATGTGTATCACCAGGCTTCAAAAAATAATAACAAAAAAACTTTTTTTATCTTCACCTTTATCTATTTTGATTACATAAAGAAAAATATAAATTCCCGGTCTATCTTTCAGGCTCTTCAAGCAGAATGACCTCATTTTCCTCACCATTTCCGTCTTATATCTACTTTTCTGCCTCTTGCTTCTACAGCGGACATGTCTAGCTAAAACCCAAGGCGCCACACTAAACCGAACATGTTCACTCCACCACAGCTAAACTGAAGTTCACCTGTATTGAATCTCGCTTTAAAACTACGCGTTTTAAGGCTACGTACCCGAACTCCCTTCGAACAGTAAAGCGCTCTCTCCCTAATTATCATAAAATCTCTCCCTCCTTATTTCGTTTTTGCCCTTTCGAGGGTCGGTGTCTTTCGCTGTCATCCAATAAATTACCAGTTATTTCACTCACTTGCTCACTCGGCCTCTCTAACTTTTCGCTTAGTGCTTATATATATATATATATATATATATATATATATATATATATATATATAGGGGCGTCATATATATATATATATATATATATATATATATATATATATATATATATATATATATATATATATATATATATATATATATATATATATAGGGGCGTCATATATATATATATATATATATATATATATATATATATATATATATATATATATATATATATATATATATATATATATATATATATATATATGACGCTATGATGACTGGGAGACGTGGCCTGGCTCATACGCCATGTTCATTCCAAAAGCACTTCTTCCTCCTCTACTTCTCCTAACCATCCCTGCCTTCTTACGTTACAGGATTCCCCCTCCCCCCGAAAGAAGTCGCGTCAGACGAACAGAAATGAAAACTGAACATGCACGGCTTAGAACTGAGCACTGTCAAAAAGAGAAAATCATTCCAAGTCCGAGGAAGTTTCCGTTGACACACTATAGCTTCACAGGAGAGGACAGCAATTGGGGGTATCAAGTACAGCTCTGGAAGGCGAGGCTGGCTGTTGCGCTCTGGACAACATAAGCATGCTTTGAGCGTGAAATCAGATGGAAACACAGCCGGTATTCTTGCGATGAATGAACGTGGTGTGATGGCCTTGAAGCATTGGCTGGATGATTTGCGCAGGTGTCGTGCTATTTGTCTTGATTGGAACCCATGCGTCGCCACCCATTTGCGTGCTTGTTGACCGAGGCTGGTGCCGTGATTTCTGCGTCCTTGCGGAATACAGGGTGTGGTTTGGTGCCTTTCTCGACGTTGTATGTCGTGTTGCCTGAGTCTTGATCTCGACTGGAGGAAGCTTACTCGACGTCCCTTGGGAAAATATGCTGGATTCGATGCTTTCTTTGTTTCGAGCGAGAAATCTTGAATATGTCGTCGGTTTGGTTGACACGTTTGTAAACGGCTTTCCATAAACCGCGTGTGTTCTTCCGAAGATGATTCCATTCGTCGTCGTCCTTGTTCGTATAGCCCTTGGAATCTCTGTTGTTCTTGGACTTGCTGGCATTGATGATCTTGCTGCGAAAAGACCTGAGGTGGCAGCCCTTTTTCACCATGACACTGACTTTCTGGGCAATTGAATGTGGTGTCGAGTGGGCAGGTAGTAGTCTCTAGGCTGTTGTGCTGCATTTCGGGTAATGAAGGTAATGCTCCAGAGTTGATAGATACATCATCAGGGGCTTCTTCTTCGCTGTTCGCTGCGAGTGGTTCTTGCTCCTGAATCTGGATGGTAGGTTCAGGGCTGGGCTGAGTATTCTCCGAGCTCCGCAGCTCTATCCCGACCATTGTGAGTGCGCTAGATGTGAGGTGGGCGTTGTGAGCGACGAAAGAGCCAAGTGGCGGAAAACCAGGAGGTAGCCCAATTGTGCTAGATGGAAAATAAGCTGATCCAATGTGTGAAGACTGATTTTCGCTCTTTGAGTCGTCATAGCGTTGTTCGGCATTTTCCTCATGTGTCAGCTGGTCAACCATGAACAAGGCGTCCTTATGACACGAATATATAGTGACCGTTAGGAGCCTTTGAAGAGCTGCGTCGTAGAAAACCAGGTGGTGGACCATGTATGCGAGACGAAGCATGAAAGGCATCAGTAGGGTGAGCGACGTCTCGTGTCGTATGTTGGTGCCACGACTTTGAAAATTCCGACTTTCGGGCACAAGGGAGCTGCGCTTGACGGTTGAGTTTTTCCCAATATACGTATGGCCTTCTGTAAGTAAACGCATGTGCCACTTCGTCTTGAGACACTTGTCGATTCGCGCTGGACTTTCGAATGCTTGAGGACTGCTTAGGAAATTGACGATAGTGTGCAGTTCTCTCTAGATGGTTGGCAATGAGTAAGTCTTGGTCATAGTCATTAAAACGGGTAATCATCTCCTCTTTGATTTTTTGCCATGACTCGTCGTTCTCGAATATGTGAATTAGGTAAAATTTAAATGCCTCACCGGTGACGTAGTCGCTGAAGTTCATAACCATCTCCCGTTCCGACCAAGATGCAGCGGTAGCGTGGAGTTTGAACAGGTTGAACCAGTCCTGTACGGGTCCGTCGTCCGCTGATCCGGTGTACTTGGGGATGTCGAGGTCAGCCAATGGTTTTTTTTTCGTATTTATTTCGTATTTATTTCAGACAAAGACAAGTAATATGTACATTTGCCCTGTCTAGGAGGAGTGACAAAAAGGCACGAATGCCTGACTGGGTGTCACACCCCTTTTTTAGACACACACAACTCAAACATCAGTGGCAGTTATCTAAGCAAAATACACAAGGTTACATATAGTATACATATTTTGGCCAAACATATACAGGATTTTCTACATATATACATTGTTCTATATACATATGAAACAGAAAGATTTTCTATATACATATACAGTATAAACTGCAGCAAGGTAAAAAAAAGAGAAAAAAAAGAAAAAAATAGAAAAAAAGAAAACAGAATTATTCTTGTATTGATAGGAGATATGCAGTTAACTTTCTTTTGAAGCATTTCATGTGCATCGTTTCTTGTACCAAGTTTATCACGGTAGGATGATGATTTAAAAAGTCTGCTATAACGTAAGATTGTTTTTGCATACCATAGTTAGTTCGTGTAAAACCTTTAACATACCTAGTTTTTCTGGTTTCGTAAGCGTGTCCTTTTCCCAGAAATTGTCGAAAAAAACTATCGTGGCATAACTTTATTTTCTGAAATATTGTAATGCCTAGCTTCTTTTTCAGTATGTGTTGCATTGTTAATATAGTGTTCGCTTTAAAAAGTGGAGCGGAGTGAGTTATATATGGCACATTTTCAATAACTCGCACAATACGTTTTTGTAGGATATACAGCTTTTTAAGATTTGTTTTTGTTGTTGTTCCCCACACAAGGAGGCAGTATTGTAAATGGGAATGAATTAGTGCGTAATATAGCTGGAGTTTTAACCAACGTGGCAAAAGTTGCTTTGCTCTGCTGATAATACCTATTGAACGTGAGATGCGTCTTGTGAGGTTATCGACATGAGGAGACCAGCTGAGATTTTCTTCGAAAAGAACACCGAGAAATTTATGTATTCTTACACGCTCGATGATCTCGCCACGGAATTTCAAATGTACGTCATTCCTGATTGACTTATTTCGGCAGCGAAAAATTATATATTTAGTTTTTTTGGTATTTAGTTCTAGTTTATTTACAATAAGCCACTCAGATAAATTATTGAGCCATTTGCTAGCTTGCAACTGAAGAATATGTAGGTTCTCTCCTGAAAAACATACATTCGTGTCATCGGCGTAAAGAATTATATCTGGCGTGAACGGAATATTACCTATATCATTTATATATAATAAAAAAAGAAGTGGTCCAAGGATGGAACCCTGAGGAACACCGTATTTAATTTCACCTAAAACTGATTTTGAATGATTGGTGTCTGTGTATTGGTAGCGGTTTGTCAAATAACTGCGTATAAGGTCAAGAGCAAGTCCCCTAACGCCATATTCGCTTAACTTTTTTAATAAGATATCATGCTTAATAGAGTCAAATGCCTTTTTAAAATCAAGAAATATCCCTAGAGTATACTTTTTGTCTTCAAAATTCTGAATTATTTTTTCTTTGATACTTAAAAGAGCCATTTCACTTGACTTCTTTTTCTGAAAGCCGGTTCTGTCATGGTGCTGGTCGTTGTCCTCCTAGGCAATGATTTGGTAGTCAATGTACGGTCAGGGCGTCTTCTAGGGAACTGCGTCGATGATGAGTGACTGATGAAGGGGCAGGCAGGTCTCCATCCTGTCGACTCGTGTGACGCTATGATGACTGGGAGACGTGGCCTGGCTCATACGCCATGTTCATTCCAAAAGCACTTTTTCCTCCTCTACTTCTCCTAACCATCCCTGCCTTCTTACGTTACATATATATATATATATATATATATATATATATATATATATATATATATATATATATATATATATATATATATATATATATATATATAGATCTGTGTGTGTGTGTCTGTCTGTGTCTGTGTGTGGCCCACCATAGCTGCTAGCCGGCGACATTACATTCCAGCACCGTTGCATGGATGGGTGGATGCAGCTGTACACTTTAGATCGGGTGGCGGCTGACACTACCTAGCCGTAATACTTAGTGAACTAACCACTAGATCCATCTTTTCTTTTTTCCCTTTAAATAGTGAAGTTGAGGACTGGTACTTTGCAGTGAAGGGTTTATTTAGTTTTCACTCTGCCTTGACTTTAGCCACCAATCAGATAACCTTCTTTAGCCACCAATCCGATAACCCAGTGCTTTGAAAAACTGTGCGCCATCATCCTGAACTATAAGGTGAAGCCCTTTACAGAACATTATCAAGTGTTCGGCAGTTTCCTCCTCCTCTCCACATGCACTGCATACTGTTGCGAAAGACGGCGACGCCAACACGGTCCTGTAGG